CATTTCAAAAAGAGGAAACTAAGGCAAAATTGATCCCCACAGAGATATGTCCATATTTTGCATTCTACCATTTCGGTGGCTTCCAGGTAGGGGTAAGGTCCCACCTGTCGGGTTGCCTATGCTGCCACATGTAGTTTATGGCACTGGTGGAAGAGATTTGCAAATTCTCCATCTGTCAATGTAACCATCTTCCAGTGTAAGTCAACAAGGAATGCAGTGCACAGCAGTTGCAAAAAAAAATAATAATACTAAAATCAAAAGTTGAGGCTATGATGACGACAATGGTTTGTGAATTCTATATCTCTTCTGAGAGAGCCACGGTTACTCTTGCTGAAAGTTTGGTCTTCCTCTGACTATTCCTTGTCACTTACTCCTTAATTTTTGTTGAAATAGCAGAAGGTAGAGTTGGATGTCTTTCTCAAAAGTTATGTTTGTAACTTAAATAAAAAGTATTTGACTTCAAGGGAAAGTAAGTGCTTTGTGTTCTTCAGTCTACATTTTACAGGATGTCAGACCAGATCAGCGTAATGGTCAGTTCTGGCCTTTGCATCAAAAGCGTTTATAGTAACCATACATTTACTAAAAACATCAGTTAAATGTAGACCTCTTGGTTATAACCTGGTGTCTGCTTAACAGCAACATTTTAATTTGTGAATTAGGATGGAGCAGTACACCAGCTGAAGAGCACCACAAGTCTTTGGAAGAACAGAATGAGCCAAGCTCTGAATTTTGGTCAGGCCAGTAAGTTTAATCATTCCTGTTAGGACTTTAGATACCCACATTCCCTCAAGAGCCAATTCTGATGCTTTATGTCTCACTTAATCAATTAAACAATAATCACTTAAATCCCATGTCAGTGCCTTGATCAGCTCGGGCCACCACTGGGGATATGGAGCACTATTCCACAGAGAAGATGCTCTTTTCTTAAATACAACCTGTTGCAACATGGAAGATCAAGAGACGTGGAGCCAAGTATTTCCTCTCAGGCCTTTCCATCAAGGTAAGTGGCAGGCAGCTACATTTTGATTCAACACAGGAAAATGTTTCCTTTCACAGCTGTTAAGTCTGTGAATTATATCTGCTTTGTGGTCACAGGAAAGAGAAAAGAAAGGACATGTTTTCTCTTGTGGAATCAAGGCATACAGAAATGCGGTTAACAAAAGCTTTTAGCAGCATTAGACTACTTGTTAATTTGTAAATGAGTAAGATGCCTCTTAGAGAAGGAAGATTGCTTCAAGGAAACCTTCCTTTCAGTGTTTACTCAGCACTAATCCAAGAAAACCCTGCCACAGTACCAGAAGATAGACAAAAGACAAATTACACGGTTGTTGAGCAGTTTGTTCTTCCAGATGGCTGACCCACAGCTACACTTCATAGGCGCATAATGTCTAACTCGACAGAGAAAACAAGCCCTATAATGTCACCAAGTCAATTTAATATTAAAAAAACCCCACAAAATGTGTTCCTCAAACAAATTATTTCGAAGTTTGGAAAGTGCTCTTAGGTGTAATGTAATGGAAAATGGAATGTCATCAGCAGAGCTGAACGAAATACTCTGTTGCTGACAAAAGAAAGCTGTAAGCATTTCTTTTTCCGCTCACAGGTCTGTCTTTTGTTTCACCATCATTGACTCACAAATGACAATTATTCATCAGATCTGAAGGTAGTGACTTGGTGAAAAAGATGGCTACAGGGCCAAAACCTCTACCAAATGTACTCTATCAGGATTTTTTAAAATCACTTGCATTTTGAAAAATAAAGTACTTTACTGCAGGAAAAGTTCTGTGCCTCATTTTGGAAAAAACAAAAGCAAGGAAGGATTTTATCTTCATGCAGAATAAACCCTGAGAAGCCATATCACTAAAGCCGAAATCAATCTTCTCTTTCTTTTTTTTTTTCCTTTTTTTTTTTTTTTTCTGCCAATTCTCCTTCTGATTATCCTCACAAATCTTCTGATTACCCTTGGGTCAAAACAAACAATATCCTGCTCTTTTTTATGTTTGGACTTCGTGGCACTGATGGATGTTATTAGCAGGATGGATGTCATGTGGTCTTCTGATGCAGAGTGCATCATATATGAATGAATCTTCTGCTGAGTGTGCCTCCTCACAGCAGTGACCTGCTCAGTAGTGCTGATGAGTAAGGACACACGGCTGCTCATTTCAAGGGTCTGTAGATGGACTCAGCAGCTTCTCTCAATGGGAATGCAAATCTAAACAGCAGCAAAAGTTTTGCTGAATTTTTCCGGAGATTAGAAGACAAACTATGTAATTCAGCTTCAACTCAAGCAGATGTTGGATAGCAACTATGGTATCTGTAAAGTTTGCAATAGACGATAATTATTTTTTTTAAATTGGGATACATAGGAAATGTATATATCCCATTTAGGTTATATCCTAAGTATAGGATAAGTCTTATAAATATTTTCTTTGTATTTCTAATAAAATAGCTATATATATATATAACCCTTACTTCTTTAATCACCCATCCTATTTCTGATTTCCAGAGATGTCTTTCTCATTGGTTAATAGGCACACGTATTTAGATACACCATGATCTCATCCCTTCTTCCAAGAAATTTCAGCTAACAAAATTTAAAGTCAAGGGGCAAAAGTGTTCTTCCAAAACCTCCAAATAAAATTGGCCTGCCATCAGGAGTCTCCACACAATGTAAACACAGTTCCTTTTCCAGAAGGGAGAATTTACCCATAGGAATTAGATCTTTAGCCTCTCAGCTACAGACAGATGGTGGCAATGACTAAACCATTATTCACACTTAAGATCGTACAGAACTCTTAATTATGCATCAGCAGCTTTCCGCATTCTGGCAATCAGGAAGTTAATTGTTAGGAAATAGTACCATCCCTGCTGTAGATGGAGAAGTGAGTTTATGTTTTGTGGAGACAGCTGGCTTGAATTGCCATGTAAGTAATGACATTATATGGCAGAATTCATTGCAGACCTGATTATGTCTCCCTAGGTCCCCAAACTCCAGAGAGTTGCCTGAAGCCTTTTGAAAAAGGAATGGCAAATATCTTTTCCTATTAAAAAGATGGGGGGGTGTGTGTGTCATGAAGAACACTTGGTGTAAAGTGTTACGTTTCACTTTCTTCCTCTCTAAAGCAAAAAAAAAAAAACCCAAAAAAAACCCAAACAAAAACCAAACCAGCATTTCCTCATTTTCCTTATTTTCTGACAAGTTCATTAGGTATTATTAGTTCATCTCTGTTGCAGTATATACATATGAGGTTCATACAACCACACTAAGGCATGGATTACTGAAGCCATTTGAGCAGGTATTTCTATCTTAAGGACTTATTTTTATTTTGAACTAAATAGTAGCGAAGACAAAGGCAATACTGAACTTTAAATTCTACACTGCTATACAATGGCATATGGAAAGGTGCGCCTCGATATTCACCAAGGAAGAAAGAAACAGTTTTCTGCAAATGGAATAAAGTGTCTGTAACACTTCCACACAACTACATAATATTCTTTCAGGAAAAGGATTGTTTTCCCCCAATATGGAATTCAATTTGCTGCACTTGGAACTTGGCAGTGCAAGTAGCTACGTCTACTGGTCGTTACTCAAACACGTGCCAGTCTGTAAAATCACCCCACATGATTTTCAGATGTATTTAACCTGTCTTCCACCACAAAAGATCTTTAAAAGAAAGATCTTTAAAAGAAATGCTTGCACTCTTTGGACTAGAAATAAAAACTTGTGCTTGGTTTCCTTAATGATTTAAGAGTCCCGAACCATTCCAGCAGAGCAGACGCAGACATGACACATTCTACCACCAAGTGCCATCCTTCAGGTCTATATAAATACACCCCCTAATGGCAGTAGTTTGGAGGCTGTCTGAGTTTAGTCATTCTCAGTCAGTTCTTGTCCCAGTCGCATCCGTTTGCATAATTATATCTGTTCTGTGGGTATGATGAAGTCCAATGTACACAACTGTATTGTAGTCCCAGGTTGCCCAAAGTGTTTGTGCAGTTACATTCTGGTGTAGCTACGCTGAGCCAACTCAAGGCTTCTTGGCAGAGTAGGTCAGGCTGAATTTTGTCACCTCCAGGATGAAAACAAAATAAACTATGCTGTCAGAGACTGTCTTACAAGTGTGTTAAGTACATTTCATAAAAAAATACCACCTCCAAACCCTCACATTAGACAGCTCTGTCACTCATCCAGATCTCTAACTGCTAGAGATTAGACAGATCTGGAGCATGACATCTCTTCATAATTTGCATCAGGCTTAAATACTTTTCTTCCACTTGAGACTTCTCTGTTGTCTGTTCCACCCAGTTCTGAAGGGATTATAGGAAATCTCTTTTGAAACCTCCCCTTTACCACCATGATGTACTATCATAGAATCATAGAATCGTCCAGGTTGGAAGAGACCCTTGGGATCCAACCATCTACGCTACTCTACAAAGTCCTCCCCTACACCATATCCCTCAGTACCACATCTGAACATCCCTTAAACACATCCAGGGGTGGTGACTCAACCACCTCCCTGGGCAGCCTGTTCCAATGCTCTTGGGCTGTTGACTATTTCTGGGGGTAAGATGGTTGACCTCGAGACATATTGGCCTTTGACCACGGGAGCATCATTGCTCAAGTGTGTCCTTGGCTGATGTGTTGTTATCTGACTCCCACACAGCACCATGGAGCCCCAGATGCCACCCTCATGAAAGACGTACCCCTGGTGACCACCTCAGGAGATTATCACTTGGGCAGGGAGATGGGAACTTGTTAGGTTCAAGTTTGTGCCCATTTCCTCTTCACCTCGCACTGGGAACCGCTGAAAAACACTGGACCCATCCTCTTGACAACCTCCCCTTGAATCAGGGAAAGCAGAGCCCACCGCGCCAGCTCTTCAGCAAAATGCTCCCAGCCTCTGGGGCGGCTGAGCAGCCAGCACCCGCTGCCTGCCTTCCCCCCAGAAAGGATGCACACCCACTGAGAGATGCAGCTTTTGTTCCAACACACCCTTTATTCAGAACTATGTACAAAGGGAAGCTCCCGGAGAGAAGGGAGCCTCCGGAAGACAGCAGGTGGTGCACAGAGGTGGTGTCAGTGGTGAAAACCTCTTTCAGACTCTGAAGAGCATCAGGTTCTTGAGCTGGTCTTGCAGCTCCTCGAACTCCCCCAGTGCCTTGACGTAGGCTTGGGGATCCTCCACCAGGCACTGGAAGAGGTTGAGTGGTGCAGCTTCTTGGGTGTCTGGGGCCAAGAGGATGTCCTCGGGCAAGAACTTATTGCCAATGATGAAGTGATCGAGGCGTTTCTCCTGCAGGCAGCTGCGCAGGTAGGCCATGACATCCTGAAGCCGGATCACGAATACTGGCCCCGTCCAGCTTGTCACGGGTATGAGGGTCAGGAGATCCATCACAACCGTCTTCAGTGTATCAGAGGAAAGGACTGTGCCCGCCAGGCTACTGGCACAGAGCTGGAGGCACTGGAGGTGGACACTGTCAGGCGGGGCCTGCCTGGCCACGTGGCTGAAGAACTTTGCCTCAGCCACAGCAAAGCTCTCTGGCCACATGGTGCCTGGGGTGAAGATGGCCTCTGGAGCCTGGCTGCTCAGGAAGAGGTCCGAGTGGTCTCGCTGCACCCCAACGAGCATCTCAACACAGAGGGATCTCCCGGAGGCACTGGTCAGCTCCAGCTTGCAGGAGCGGCGGGAAGGCAGCAGCCTCAGCCCGTAGCGACGTGAATGAGGCAGCTCCTCCCAGGCTGAGGTCACCAAGCCTTGGATCCAGCGGGCGATCTTCTGGGCATCGAGGTAGCGGATGGTGCAGAGCTCGTTCAGGAGGCTGGAATCCTGATTTCTCTGCAGCGCCTCGTAGGGCTGGTGGACGAAGCACAGCATGTCCCCCACACGTGTGTCCTTTGTGCAGGTGCACACCAGCTCCACACGGACACGGTGCTTTGCCGGCGCGTCCCCCGCAGTGCCCAGCTCCAGGTGGAAGGCGTGCCCACGGGGGGGTTTCAGGGGCACAAGCAGGGTGTAGACAGCATCATGCCCACGGGGACTCCAGCCTTCAAAGGCGCTGCCCACCCCGATGGCTGGCTGCAGCACTGGGAAGAAGCTCTCGGACAAGCGCTTCTGCAAGGCACCGAGGAGATCGCCCACCAGCTTCTCCACTGCCTTTCTCCTGTAGGCCACGCTCCGCGCTGACCGCCGGACCTTGTCCCTCACCAGCCGCTCCACGTAATCGCCAACTTCTCTTTCTTCCTCCTCAGCCTCCCCCGTGTTGCTGCTGGACCTCTCCTGCTCTTTGCTCCTGTCTGGTGCATGGGTCCTTTTCTTGAGCCACGCACTGAGCCTGATGAGCAGCACCGGGTATCCAGCAACCGCACCGAACTTGAAGGCAGCAAAGAGCAGGTCTTCCCAGGCAAGCCAACCGTATCCGACCATCACTGTGAGCCAGATGATGGTCAACAAAAGCAGGAGAAGGACTCCTGTCAGAGCCATGGCCGGCAGGAGTAGGGAGATCCTTTTCCAGAGCCTCAAGCAGAGCCCGAGGAGCAGCACTAGATCTCCAACAACCAGGCAGCACTGACACAGCTTTGAGGATGTAGCAAAGAGGAGGGCTCCCCAGGAAAAGTCGCTCTCCTCCAGGATCACCGCCTTCTCCTCCATGCTCGGCTCCATCTCCTCCAGGCTGGGCTTTGTCTCCTCCAGGCTGCTCTCCTCCACCTCCTCCAGCAGCCCAGTCATCTCCATGTTCTGGAGCTCCGCACGCTGCTGCATGTGGAACCCTGTGGCCTCATCCAGCCCATTGCCAACCATGGGCGGGAGCCAGATGATGCTCATCATGAGAGGCAGCAGGACAAGGACTCTTGTCACAGCCATGGCCCGCAGAAGTAGCAAGAGAGCCGCGAGCTCCCTCACCGCTGGCGCAGGCCGCACTGGGACCGCTGTACTGGGACAGCGCCTTTTATAGCCACCCCCATTGTGACGTGTCCCCTGGGGTGTCCCAGGGGCCGCAGCGCATCACAGACACCCCTTGGGCCCCACCCCGGCTCAGCCACAGCCTGGGATGGTGAATGCAACTTACTTACCCCTTACAACTTATTTACAAGCCCTTGCAAGGCCCTTCAGGGCATACTCTAGCGCCCGAGATCGTTTGCTTTTGTCTCTTTGTGCGTCTGGGATTTTTTGGTGGGTTTGTTTTTGGTTTTTCTTTTTCTTTTTGTTTTGTTGGTTGGTTGGTGGTTGGTTTTTTTTTGTGGTTGTCTCAATGATCTCAAAGGTCCCCTCCCACCATAAAGATTCTGTGATTCCTTCTTCTGCAATTGCTACACGATCAATGTCTTTTTGCTGTGAGCACTTTCATAGAGTCATAGAATCATAGAATCATTTAGGTTGGAAGAAACCCTTGGGATCATCGAGTCCAACCCTCTACCCTACTCTACAAAGTCCTCCCCTACACCATACCCCTCAGTACCACATCTGAACGTCCCTTAAACACATCCAGGGATGGTGACTCAACCACCTCCCTGGGCAGCCTATTCCAATGCTCTTGGGCTGTTGACTATTTCTGTGGGTAAGATGGTTGACCTCGAGACATATTGGCCTTTGACCACGGGAGCATCATTGCTCAAGTGTGTCCTTGGCTGATGTGTCAGCCATGACTTCCTATAAATGATGGAAAGCGATTTGGCGAGCACGTCTCCCAATTCTTTCAGCACTCTTGGGTGTAGCCCATCCAGTCCCATAGACTTGTGTGCATCCAAGCGGCTTAGCAGGTCACTGATCTCTTCCTCTTTGATAGTGATGCTCTCATTCTTGCCATTTCTGAGAATTTAATTGTCCTACAGATGTCCAGTTCTGCACTGAACCCATGAATTTTCTCTCCAGGCTGAAAGGTTCACGAGATTGTCTGCACGCTGCTGGCATGAACCTCATAGCAGTGCTTGCATTTCAGGTTAAATTTTGTCATCAGACACAGATAAAGGGCCTACAGTTTAGAATTTGAGATACATGCAGGTATCTCGGGAGACTTTTTCACAGCTTTACTCCTTAGGGTTTTCTTTCATCTGCACCCAAATCCTACGGTTTTCATAACAATGTTTCAAATACCTTTCACTATAAAATAAAATACAATTATTCCCCTATATTTCAATGCTACAAGCCAATGGACAGTTAAGAGAACGTGGCCGTATTTTGTCTAGAACTGTTATTTTCACACTGCTGGAGACAACGAGCACCGTCTCATGTTCCAGCTTATGATCTGTGCCACAGAACACAGAAACCTTAATTTGCCTGTGGGCAAATTGACTGGGGAGTGGAAGGCAGCTGCTTCTTCCTCTCTGATAGCCCAAACAATGGGCTACAAAGTTCACTAGGGAGGTTTGCAAAAGTGTTTCTCCTGGCTCCTCACGCAAACCTGACACCAGACAGCATGAGCCAGAGCAGCTCTGGATTGCAGCGTCGGGGTGGGCAAGGACAGCTGCTCTTCCACGGGTAACTGCCTTTCCCTTCCGTAAGTAAGAGGATATTAATAGGAGAACCCAGGAATTTCAGAGGCCTTCTTTCCATCATAGTAGTCTTTTGCAGAAAGACTGCTTGCAGGGGGACGCCTCTGCTTAAGGACTAGACTGGCTGGAAAATATCCATACAAAATGAAGTAAAACCTTTAAGTCGCTCGCGGGCGAGTGTGGAAGACTTGAGCGAGAAGTGCTTTATTAAGTTATGCTCTAACCCCCTCTGGTGATCAAGACTTGTATCAGACCTAACAGTGAAATAAATAACAGCTTTCTGAGCATAGTTTTATTTCTGTAGAACGAATCTAAGGGGGTCTTTAAAAGTACCCATTGTTATAAGTTCCTCAGCAACTGTCCACTATGCAGAGAATAATTAATTTAATGTAATCATTAAGTAGTAATTAATGTTGTGTGAGACCAGATTCTAGATTCCGTCGTGGCAGGAGAAAAGCTTAAAGTTTTTGATGGAGGACAACACACGAGGAGGGTTGCAACCCCTAATCCTTTCATTACTGCAGAGTGCATGGATGACCTTCAAAATAACCTGCAGTACCTGCACTAGGAGCACCTAATGTCTCTCCGGCAGCCTCCACTCACCAAGGCTGCAGAACACTTATTTGAACAAATACTGTTGTTCTCCTTCCTTGGTGACACCTCTGTTTGATCCCATTGAGTGTCCCCACAGGTTAACCTGAAAGAGCTGCCTGTGACCTGGATGTTTCATAAGAAAAACATCATCTCTGTGGTTTAAAATTGCTTTTTCCACCTTAAAAAAAAGTGTTTTGCTTTTCTGAAGATGTCTATATTCCATCATCCACAAAAGTATGGGAAGGCACCATGCAAACCTCTGAGAAAACAAGCCTTCTTTTATCCTTGGCTGCAGGAAGCTCTTCAAGGTACTGTCATTTGGTGAAGATCTGAATCTCCTCCTGAATCTCCTAGAGCAAAGGAGGACCTGATCGCTCTCTATAACTCCCTGAAAGGAGGGTGTAGAGAAGCAGGGGTCGGTCTCTTCTCCCAAGTCTCAGGCGATAGGACAAGAGGAAACGGCCTCAAGTTGCTCCAGGGGAGGCTTAGATTGGATATTAGGAAAAAGGGTTATTAAGCATTGGAATGTTCTGCCCAGGGCAGTGCTTGAGGCAGCATCCCTGGAGGTATTCAAAAGATGAGCTGATGTGGTGCTTAATGACTTGGTTTAGTGATTTTTTTAGGGGTTTTTTTAATCAGAGTTAGGTTGGTAGTTGGACTAGATGATCTTAGAGGTCCCTTCCAACCTAGACAATTCTATGATTCTATGATAGTGCTCCCAGCATTCCCCTGTGAAATTAATGTAATTTTTCATTACAATATATTTTTTCTAAAGCCCTTTGCGTCCTGATACAGCGAGACAGAAACTATACCTAAACCTGGGAGTTCAACATAGGAAAAAACAGAGGGAGGAGCACGGGGATCATTAGTTTTGGTGGCCTAAGGGGCAGACCAGGTGAGTGCTGCCAGCAGTGACGTTCAATGCCACTCACCAAAGAACTCTGCCCATCTGGGAGCAACACTTCTTTTTCACAAGAGTTCTGAAGCTCCTCTGTCAGCCAACTCACATGATGATTGAGTCCTGGTTTTCAACACGTGTGTGGTACTGCACAGTCCTCTCCTCCAAAATACTGTAGAAGCTGTTGGTCCAACATATCTTTTAAATCCTGAATAGTGCAATAGAATGATAACAGGTATTTATGTCTGACAGCAACTGAAGGACCAAAATCTTCATTATCTCAATTACTCTATTGTCCACTTTGTCATTAGAAGGCTCATACTGGAAAGCAAGTCTCTTGGATAACTGTGAGCATTCCCCGCATTATTCAGTGCACACATGTCCCATAGGTAGCAAGAAACACTTATGTACAACTGATAAATGTTCATTAAAGAGTATACAGGCTTGGTTGGCCACAAAGGCTCCCTCCTGCATGAGGTAATGACCAGGAACTAGTCAGAGTTATTGGCCAATTCAGACTTTATGGACTTTACCTGTGGCCTGATCAAAAACGTAAAAAGAAGTGTATAATGCCTGACTTGCAGATGGGCAACAAAACCAAGCTTCGGACAACACAATGGGCAGGATTTGCTGCTAACCTCATGGTTAGCTGTAATAGACTTCAGAAAGAGAATGCTTTCTGAGGAGAAAGACCTAGGAGTCCTGGTGGACAACAGAATGACCATGAGCCAGCAATGTGCCCTTGTGGCCAAGAAGGCCAATGGCATCCTGGGGTGCATCAGGAAGAGTGTGACCAGCAGGTTGAGGGAAGTTATCCTGCCCCTCTATTCTGCCCTGGTGAGGTCCCCATCTGGAGGAGCGTGTCCACTTCTGGGCTCGCCAGTTGAAGACAGACAGGGAACTGCTGGAGAGGGTACAGCAGGGGACCACAGAGATGACTAGGAGCACCTCCCTTATGAGGAGAGGCTGAGGGACTTGGGTCTTTTTAGTCTAGAGAAGAGAAGGCTGAGGGGGGAACTGATCAACGCCTATAAATACTTAAAGGGTGGGTGTCAAGAGGATGGGGCCAGTCTTTTTTCAGTGGTGCCCAGAGATAGAACAAGAGGAAATGAGCATAAACTTGAATCTAAGAAGTTCCACCTAAACATGAGGAGGAACTTCTTTACTTTGAGGGGTGCAGAGCACTGGGATGGGCTGCCCAGGGAGGTGGTGGGGTCTCTGTCTCTGGAGACATTCAAAACCCACCTGGACATGTTCCTGTGCAACCTGCTCTAGCTGGACCTGCTTTGGCAGAGGAGTTGGACTAGATGATCTCCAGAGGACCCTTCCACCCCCATGTGATTCTATGGTTCTGTGATGCCCTGTTCACTAATTTCTCAAAGACATGTACATTAATACAGTGGAACCTACGTCCCTGTCAGTGTCTTGGAGGGAAAGCGTCTGCTGAAAAAAGCAATTATTACCATGTCTATCACCTTCCACCTAGAAAAATCACATTGGCAGGAACTACCTGTAATATTTGCACGCTACAACCTTCTTTCTTTTTTAATAAAGATTTCAAGTAGTATAAAAATTGTGAGATGTTTTCAATCTAAGGATTGCACATTTAGAGAGTGATGTATTTCCTCTTACAGTTCAGGCTGACAGAGAGATGTGAAGAAGTGCAGCTTGATGGGTGCTCAATTTGTGAAGTAAATCCTAATATATACATATATATATGCTGTCTTACTTCCAACTCTCAGGCTGCTGTCCCTTTTGCAGAGTCTTGCTTACTACATAGGTGCATTTAGGCTAAATTTCTTGC